TACTATTACTAAACTATCTACTGTGGAGCGGGGCTTAAGTCGAAAGCTGACTGCGGAGCCGGGCAATTAACCATGACTTGGCTGAGTCACATAATCAACTATAATACAAGTTTCCAAACCATTAATACAATTCTTATACTATATAAACGAAACCAATACGACACATTACTTCTTCTCCAAACGAATTAGGGAAGGCCTTGGTCGTAGGTAAGAATCGATTCAAGTCAAGACTCAAATGATTAACGTACCATTACACAGCAAGAGTACTCATGCAAACCGAACTCGAAAGCTGCACCTGTCGAAAGTGTGCGAAGGCAAAAGAAATTTGTCGAAAATCATGCCTAGCCGAAAGCATGTACCAAACCCCAAACCGAAATTGAACCAAACCAACGAGAGCACCGATGACCGATACAAAGAAATTTGCGCCCCTGAGCTTGAAAGAAGCAAATTGGGACACCTGGTCCTTCTGCATGGAGATGCTGCTCCAAAAGCAAAATCTCTGGGATGTAGTTGATGGTACCGAAGCAATGCCTGCAGGGAGCCAGAACTCAAAACCGGTGAAAGTGTTCACCCGAAAAAGGAAAGAGGCAATTAGTGAGATTGCTTTGTGACTGGAGGATGGCTTACTGGTGCATGCCCATGACGAAGACCCAGTAACCATTTGGAAGAAGTTAAAGGATGTAATGGGAGCCCATGGCTTGGGCGCCCGTATGGCACTTCGACGCAAATTTAGGATGTTGAAGATGAGTATCGGAACTGAGACGATGAGGGAATGGATATCCCGAGTCGAAGAACTGGTACGAAAAATGCGAAATCAGAAAATCAATGTCGATGACATGGATGTCGTTGTGGCACTCACCGACTCTCTACCTGCAAGCTACGCAGCCCTATCTGTCTGGCTTGACGGTGTGCCCGAAGATGAATTGACTATCGACCTCGTCATTCGCCACCTGTTGAACGAAGAGATGCGCCAGTCTCATATGAACGAGGTAGAACTGGACCACAAACTCGCTTTTGCAGCATACAACAAGAAGAAGGCAAAGCCTATCAAGGAGATCACTTGCTGGAACTGTAAACAAAAGGGTCATTATCAGTTGTCCTGCACTGAAAAGTCCACGAACACGAACGAAGGGTCAGGAAGACCCACTGGCTCCATCTTCTGATGTGAGTATTACCAATGGACATCAGGAAAAAGAAAACTGCAGTCCTAGGGCCTCCTAGAGCAGGTCACTATGGGAAAGCTACTGCAGTCTAGGAAACTGCTAGGGGTGTGGCATCTTGGGATTGATCTAGGAGATGTCTAGGACATTCTAGGGAAGATTCTCAAAATAGGACAATCCTGACAAATCAATACCATGAAAAATAATAATTAAATATGTATATTTAATACCCAATAAATGGTAACTATAGTATCCCCATAAGGGGTTAAACTAGAGGGTATGAGAACTTAGGCCATGAGCACATGGAGAGTCACTAAGGATGCCAAGATAGAGCCATAAATCCTTCTAAAACATGTGAAACAATACTTTATATACCTTTATCTTTGCCTAATTCCATGACAAGTTTTCAAGCCATCATGAGGACTTGTAGAAATTTTGCATGCATGGTGGGTGCAGGTGGTGCATGTAACTTGGACCCTTCCTCTTCCACCCCTCTCCACTCCCTCTACCACCCCTGCCCATCCCCCTAACAAATTTGTGTAAGTGTTTTCTGAGGTTTCTATTTTGATTTCCTTACATTCTGCTCTCTTTCTGCTCCCTCCCCACTCCAGCAACATGGTCTCAACATGGGAGTCCACCTGCTTCCCACTCTGTGGGTGTTTTTTTTCTCTAAGTCCCAAGACCATTGACTAACTTTGAATTTTTTCAGGAGTGTTCATTATCTCTGCATCCTCACCTGGTAAGTACTCACCTGCCACTGTTGTCTGCAGTATACTGACATCCTCTTCTAGTATGTGCTCCCTCCATTGGTTGGTGTTGGTCACAGGTGAGCATTAAGTCAGTACCAAGTAAGTGTCAGGTAAGATTTTGGTATTATACTTTGTATTTAGTCATGAATATATTACATTTCAATTGATTTTGGTTATATTTAATTAATTGATAATTTATAAGCAATAATAACTGCTGTAGCTAGTGCCCTCTAGGCCAATCTATACAGCTCCTGATAAAAGGGGGGGGTCACTTAATGGCTAGCAGCTCTAGAAACACTACTAAGAACTGTGTAGCACCTCTTGATTTTCCTGATGGAGGACTGCCGGTGACGACCTCTCAAAATGGAGGACTGTTGGAAATAGGTGTTTTTTTGACATCAGTAAAATGTCTTTTCACCTAATTCTCACCTAGCTACCCCAAGAATTCAAATGTCAAAAATTTCAATTCAATCAATGAATAGGGGTAGCTAGGTGAGAATTAGGGAGGACCGACATTTTCCTGATGGAGGTCATGCAGGGACAAGGATTATTCGCGACGTTTTTCGGCCGTGCTCGCCTATAGACACGTATCGCAAGCACGCAATTTTATCGATAGTTTTTCTTTATAAAATACGTACACTTTCTATCCGAATACACTAGTCTTTTTGTCTCCCATTTTGTCCCACCGACGATGCCCTCCTCCACCCGACACGCTCTAAACCTTAAATTTTATCAAGGTGGACCTAGCGGACGCCACATGAGCGCATCCAGCAGACCCACACCTCCTTCTCCATTCACAAGACTGTATCGAAATAGATTCCCACCAGGCTTTGTCAGAAAATCAGTGCTACTGCCCTGGAGAATGGTGTGGCCCAGACTTATGGATGGAAGCTGGCCATGGAGGGTGCCATGGAGGGCAGCATACATTGAGTGAGTAGATGGGTTTGAAGACTGAGAGAGGAAACTAACATTGGGATTCGAATCGAATTCATCAGTAAAATGTCTTTTCACCTAATTCTCACCTAGCTACCCCAAGAATTCAAATGTCAAAATCTTCAATTCAGTCATTGAATAGGGGTAGCTAGGTGAGAATTAGGGAGGACTGAGATTTTCCTGATGCTGCGACGACAGAATCCTCATGATTTTTGAAGTTTTTCCCTCTCTTTGTATATGAGATATATAAGATTTATGAGTCAAAGTTCTGGGAGAATTAGGCAAGGGAGAGGTCCAATATTCAAGGAGACTGGATGCTACAAAAATCCGAAGCACCTTCTTGGATATCATTGATGAGAATAAGAAAACTATCACTTTTGACTTGGCTCAAATGAGGCCTGTATCCTACCAAAGGAGACTAACATGTTTGACCTTGCCTCACTTTTACCTAGTGAGTTTTGACCAATAGTGTTACAGGTATGCCATTATTTAATGGACTCTGCCTCCTTTATGACCATGATTCCTTTCTATCTTATGGATTCTGCCTCATCATATGACCATGACTTCTTTCTATGTATCTCTGCCTTATGCCTATGCCTTCCTTCTTCCTATGTTCCTTTCCTATGTTTGTACTGCCTGCTATTTATGTATGGCTATGTGATCCTGTGCCTGATTAATTAGTTAGATTAATGTATGTAATGAGGCTATGCCTCTTGTACTATATAAAGGGACTTGCGGATGATGCCTGCGATCATCCTCTTTTGCACCATCACTACTGGGACATTATAAGCGCTAAAGTGCACCTTTGATTGACCATTTTACCAGGGACACAATCTCCCCTGAAGAGTGACTTAGGTCACTATAATATCTCCAGAGACATTTTCTCCTCTGAAGAGTGACGATTAGTCACTATAATATCCCCAGGGACACTATCTCCCCTGAAGAGTGACAGAGTTCACTATATTATCTCCAGAGATGCTATTTCCTCTGAAGAGTGAGTACACCTCACTATAGAATCACCAGAACCTAGTATTCTGAAGAGCAAGCACACCTTGCTATTATAGTATTATCACTATAATTATACTACCAAAGGGACAATCAAGTTAAAGTATAAACGTCTATTCTGAACCTTATGACATTATAGTTATCAACCAATAACAACCTCTCAAGGCGGCAGGTAAGTCAGCAATCATAAGGGTGTTTCCATGTTTAATGACAACTACCTCAGACTACATGTCCAAGGCCTCACTCTGGGTGTCTATTTTGAGTTTTGAGATTATCCTGTTCATGCTCCCCGATTTGGCAACTCTTCCACAATGCTTTACTGGCCCTAAAGGTCTCTTGAAGAATGGCCCAATTCCATAAATCTGCAAGTTATACTCAACCTGAACAAGCACTGACAGCACTTCAGAAGGCTGACTTGGATCACATCAACTGCTAACTCATCCTCAACTGGGATGATCATGGCAGTTTTGATGATCAACACATCTCATATATAAACATCCAACCCTGATTTGCAAAGCTTTGAAGTGCAGCGCTGTAAAGAGTAGACTCCTCACAATTTGGACTCCTCAAGCAAAGCATGTACACAACATCACAAAAATGTAAATCCATTTTTAGATGTCCACAAGAGCAACTCTAGGAGCAAGTGCTGACCAAGAGTTCTCCAAGACTTTTGTCTAAACCCTGGCTTTGGGGACTCTTGGGTAGACACCCCTCTACTTGTGTCTACCCCATTAGACCTATAAAGCTCTAACTCTAATCACAAAGAGCAGTTACTAGGACAAGTGATCTTTATAGAGACTCTCCACAGCAAAACAAAGGTATCTATCTCTCTAAAAAAATCATTCTATACAATATACATAGAGGGATACATGCCAAGAAGATAATTGGAATACCAGCAAAAAGAAGGATGTACAGGCAGTCTCCTTGCCTTAAATTGTTTGAAATGAAGTTAAATGGTTTACATCTGATTTTTGAATATTTTTGGGTATTTAATTTATTACTGACTCAGTGGGCAGCTATGCATGTGGTGAGGACTTTGCAAAATTTTGCTAAGTCCAAATGGGTGCAGGTGGGGCACAACACTTGGACTCCACCACTTCCACCTTGCTTTTCCCCACCCCAGCCATTGGCCTGGCCTCTCACTTTACTTGGTAAGTTATCTGTTTTGAATCTTTTACTCTTTTCTCATGGTTTTCATTCACCCTGCCTTTGCTTCTCCACCAGAAAATCAGCTACAACATGGAATCCACCTGCCTCCTGTAAGTTTTTTTCTTCCAAGTCTTTCTGTTCACAGATGAGTTTGCCTTTACTTAGACATGTGGTAAGTCATCTAGTAACATTATAGGTAGTCTGTGTGAGGAGTAGAATAGTGTGTATAGACATTTTCCCAACCCAATATTGATCCTGTCCTGAGCACATTTGAGATTTGGAGGCATTTCCTGGGAACCCCAAGAATGCTAGGCCCTAGACTTTGACACTTTCCTAGATCTAATGCACATATCCAGTTCCACAGCACTTGAAAGATCTATGGGGCTTATCACTAGGCCCCAAGATCTAGGGTAGATCTTGACAAGAGCTATATAGAGGGGGGGGCTGGCTAGTGATGTAACGCCCTGCCCCCAACTCCACTATAACACTTCCGACTTCCGCCGAGCTCCGTGCTGGTCACGGAAGTTCCGACGCCTGGTCTCTGCTGGTCGCGGACCTTCCGTCTTCCGTGGAAAAGTATCCTTACGTAATCCAAACCCAGTCAAGTCCCTGCGCTCCTAACGGCCACTCGGCACTAGGGAGCGACTGGTACGGTCGCTCCTATTTTCCGTTTTCTTTTTGATTTTTCTTTGACTTTTTCGGATGGACAATTAGTTTTATTCATGTCCTGATCTAGAGAACAATAGCGTGCGCATTTGTCTATATAAACCCGCCTGTACTTTGTTTGTAGTTCTCTAGTCAGAAAATCAACTTAGTCCTCCCCTAATCTCGCTTCCGTCTTAGTTTTGTTTCCGCTCCTCTTCCACTCCGTTCCGCCGTTCCGCTTGATCCTTGGACTTAGTGTTCTTGCTAGGTCCCGCAGTCTAACGGGCTACCGAGTACCACCTCGTCTTCACCTCGTATCCGTTCCGTCCCGTCTTCAAGTTTCACTCCCGTTCGTCCGACGCCCGTGCGCGTTCCGCTGGTCGTGTTGGAAGACACTTAACCGTTTCGGCCCTTCGCACGGCCGAAGTTCGTGACTTAACAAGTGACTCTAGTGTCTTGGTAAGTCTGTATAGGTCTGTATAGATGAGGTCCAGATTTGGGATGAAATCAATCCACAATGGTAAATAAAGCACTCATTTCAATAGCAAAATCTATTTATTCAATGCTATGTGCTCAATTATAAATCATGTGAAAACAAATTATTCAGAAATTCCACTGCATGATATGGCAACCAGCCACCTGGCAAAATGTTGACAATACTTTGTATGCATACTGTATGAGGGAAAGGAGAGAGAGGGTAAACCTAGGCTCAAGCTGGTAATAAGATGATGAGGAGAATCAATATACCCTTTGACAAATATGATAGGGTTTTAAGAATAACACTCACATGACCAATACAACCATGTGCTAAGATTTCATTCATTCCATCATTTGGATTGTTTGCTTGAGATTTGGGCTTGCAATTTGGATGCATTGTTAGCCTGTCCCAATGCAGCATATACATTGGCTAGATTGCCCATTGCATAGTGAGTCTTCTGGTGATCTTCACCAAGGAGATTGGTCCATTTCTTGACTGCTTCTTCTGCCAATGGCAGGGCTTTATTGGCTCCTCCTACTTTGGAATATGACACAGCCAGGTTATGGATTGCATTGATAGTGTCAAGATGGTCATCTCCAAGCAGCTTTCTACGCTTCTCTAGCACCTCCTCCCTCAATGGCACAGCCTCCATGCTTCTTCCTAGGCTTGAGTATGATGAGGCTAGGTTGGCAATTGCCGATATAGTGTCAAGATGGTCATCTCCAAGCAGCTTTCTACACTTCTCTAGCACCTCCTCCTCCAATGGTACAGCCTCCATGCTTCTTCCTAGGCTCCAGTATGATGAGGCTAGGTTGCCAATTGCCAATATAGTGTTGAGATGGTCATCTCCAAGTATTTCTCTTGTCTTCTTCATTACATTCTCTCGTAATCCTAAAGCCTCTTCCTCCTTTCCTGCTGTGCTGTATGACCGAGCTAATATTTCCATTGCATCTAATAGGTTCTCAGACTCCTCACTAACTGATCCTCTCCATATTTCTACACAATGCTCCATATGCTTCACTGCCAGTTTTCCATCCCCTACTTCATTCAATACAACTCCAAATCCATAGTGGTCCCCAGCTTCAACTACATCATCCAGATTGATCAGCTGTAAATGGGAGGATACAGATCGGTTGAATGCAAGGTATTCCCATGGAGCACCAATTGTGACTGCAGAGCCAAGCAGGCGAGTGACAAGCCGACTTGAAGGATGACCAAGCACTATCCTACAACTTGCTTGCAAAAAATTCTGCACAAGTATATGCATCGAATAGAATTTTTCTTCATCTTGAGTTGAGATCCGAACCAGCGAGTATTTCTCACACTCTCCAATTAGGTCATCGAAATCGAGCGACGACCAGCTTCCTTGAGGCATAATGATACTTTTGAGAGCGTCCGCATATTTGATGCTCTGTGAATGTAATTGTAGCCCTGTCTCCACGGCCAGATGCTTGAAATGCTGATCGGCTGCTCGTTCAATAATGCTCTGCGGAATAGATCGGGAATCAAGGTAAGAGAGCAGCCCGAGTAGGTCCTGAACCTATTAGATGCA